TAACGAAAGTTTTAGGCAAACCAATCAGTAGTAACAAGGGGAAAGAGGGGGAAGAGAGGAGTAAAGGGATCAAAGGGGTCAGATTCTAGTCTTAATTGGGGACCAGAGAAGGAGGGTGGGGGAATAAGGGGAAGGGAGAGGAGTCCGACAATTAGTTCATGTCGTCCCGTGGTCCTCGTCTCGAGTTTTGTTGGGAGATTTGAGGATGCAAGGTGTCAATGTCTTGTGACGGCGTCGGTGGCCGTGCTTGATGCCGTAGTCTCGTCACTGCTTCGCGGCGTGATAAGAGGCAGGGGGGCAGATGTTGAAACGGCCTCCGGCCACGAGAGCTTAAAAGCCGCTACACACGCTTTCTGCGCACACAAAATTGGCTTTGAGAGGCGTATGGCGACTGCCCTTGCAGTCGCAAGTATCCGCTGAGGCATTAACTTGGAATTTTTGGCCGGTACTTTATAGACGACTCTAAACGCGGCATCGTAAAAAAATATTACGGTACAAAAGTAAGAAAAAGTTACCTATGCTAACAATTGATAGGTCTTGGCTAGCCGTTTCCAGCACTGTGGAGTTCAGTGACGCTGCTGGTAGCCCGCACGGCCCTGGCACATCGTCGTGATCATTATGTCCGTGCATATCTAAAATAAGGAAAGTAGGCAGTTAGTACGTAGGTAACATAACAACGGGTGACAAGTTTATTTTTTAAATTGCAGTAGTCGCCGGCTATTAAGCCCACCTCGGGCCCAGACCAAATTGGGCTTAATAAGCGGCGGGCTTATTAACCGTGGGCTTAATAGCCGGCGACTACTGTAATTGGTTAAGGGGACTCACTAATTTGGCTAGTAGTATTTGCATAACGCCCACTGTGCCACATATGCCGATCGTGGGCACGTTTGTAAGCAAGTTTTAAAGCCTTTGGTATTTCCATCCTCCCAATGTTGAGTGCACGCCAACGATGTTCTGTGTTGAAGATTGTCAAACCAGAAACGACCTTTCCTTACCAGCCACAATGGTTTAGAGGTCTGACTACTTAAAAGCCGTTTGGGGGACGAGTCGGCCGTGAAAACTTAGCCACTAAGTCACCCCGTCAACAAAGACCGCATATAAAATTGACTTATCTGCTTACTTAAATATTTAACAAGTCCCATGTGGACATACTCACCGCTGCACATTGCCCTTACCTTTATCCGATTGCTTTTCCTTCACAGAAGTGTACGTTCATCACCTGGAAGGTCGGGGGCAACACGCCGCTTAAGCAAAAAGTATCGCCGGCAAAGGCAAGGGAGACTGGAATGGTCATTTTTGGCTTATTTGCCGTCGTCAGCCAGTCATACCCAACCCCCAGTGGCGCATCACCTGAGGTTCAAACTCAGGACCTTTTTGATCAGAGTCTACCGCTCTAACCATTTAGACACGAACTCGTTGTCTTGACTTGTCTAGATCGGGGATTTTGACAGTTGTTGATGAACGTTCACCGATCGCTAACGGAGCTCACTTCGTCCGCTCCGTCTTGGGCTTCAATTTGCGGGCTCTGACAGCAGCCAACAGTATAGGCAGACAAGCCTTTCTTCTTCACTTGGGGTTGTACATGCTTTGCCAATGGCGGATAAAAGGCCATAAAATTTCATCGCAATCTTCCACGCCTTTTGACTGAGCCTATCTAGATCATAGCGCATATTTTTCAGCCTACCCCAAACGCTTGCACGGACAAATTACCAGCTGACAGTCTAATCAATGTTTTGTTCTTGCCAGATTTAACTCTTCGGCTTCAGTGATGGCAAATCGCCCAATATTTGAACAGGAGAAGTTTTGTGTTTTAGCAACATGGATAACCGGTTCATACACGATCCTATTCTGATTAATTCTTGCCAAACTGGGTATATTTGACGAAAGCATTTCGTTGAATATCATCCATTTCATTACACTCGCTGACTTTTATCGGGATCCTTAAGTCAGTTTCTACGCTTCAGAACCTATAATACTAATCGAATTGAGAGACAGCTTGATGTGGATGATAACTTTTGCACGAACAAACAAACGATATTTTACAAACAGGAGCAATAAGAAATTCAATTAGGTATATAGAGCTACTATAGGAGTTAAGGCTAGGACGGTTAACGCTATTAGCTACAATCTTCCAGGCCGGGTTCCTTAGAAGATGAGACGAGACGGTGGGAAAGCCAGAGTAGAAGGAAGAATGTATTGTGTACACAACAATTAGCAGGAAGTGGCCAGTCGTTCCGGCATGGCCGCGAGAGCCGCGTGAGCGCGCAAGTCCCCGTCGGTGCATGAATTGGCTAGAGGACTGGAGAGCGCTTCAGGATGCTGGTAGGTCGACCGGTTTGGGGCGCA